CAGCAGAGGCAGCAGGAGCCTCCAAGCCCCATGTTGCACAGAGGAGCGTGCTCCCACCGACCCGACGAGGAAGCCACCCCAAAGCCAGACATAAAACTGCCCTAAAGGTGCCTGTGAAGCGGCTCCCACGGGTATGAGCAGGGAAACGGCTGCCAGAGAACAAAAAGCAGAAGGGAGGAACAGCAAGGCAGCGTGCCACAGCCTCCCAAGGACCACTAACTGCTGGAAACGTGCAGCTGGACCTGCAAGAACCGATAAATTCTGGGCACAAAGACCCCACCGAGCCCGCCCGAGGCCACCAGCCCGCGTTGGCATTCGTGACAGGGGTTATAATTTGGTATAAATCAGCGGCCGCGATGCACGGACGGGACTTCCTGAGATTACAGATAGTCAGCAACACAACGAGGTCGTTCCAAGGGATTTTCTGAACCCCCCCAGCACCCCGATATCAGCAGGAGCCCGCTGCAGCTGGGGATGGAGCTTCAACCAGGCAACTGCAAGGGAAAGCGAGGGGGTGAGCGATGATTGAACGAGCTTAATGCTATTAATAACTTTGATCCCATTAAAGCTTAACAAGTAAAATGTGCTCCAAGAAGCACTGCTCCTCATCCGAGTCTCCCAGCCCCAGCCGGGTCTCAAGGCACGGAGAAGGGAATTCACAGCCAAAGCGAGAGGGTTTCCAGGCGCCAGCACCATCCACCCAAAGGCCTTTCGGAGCACCGGGATGGGACACCCGGGAAAAGCAAAGCCGAGGAATCCCACGTTGAAAAGGGAGGAGATGAAGGCGACAGTCGAATATATCACAAAAAAGGCGAAGGGGACAGCAAATTGAATAAATGAGAGAGCTAGAAGTAGAAAAAGCCAACAACAACAAAAAAACCATCAGAAATCCTTATTTAGCCAAACTGAGACGAACACTTTCGCCACCTGCTGAGGCAGGGACTCACGAGACGCTCCCGTTGGTGTTTAAATGGCCCGGCCCTGAGTCTTTACTGCATGAGCGACGCGAAGAAGAGGGCTCAGGATGACCCTCTCCCAGGGCACGCTCGCCTTTCTGGGATGGATTTCACCATTTCTCACCCGGAGGCTGCATTGAGACATCAGGGTGACGCTGGGCCGGGGCGGGGGGCGATCAGAAAGCCCCCTGCAAGCAGAGGGGAGAACGAACCCGCTGCCACATCCACGTGTCAAAAGAAAGAATCGCCTGCGTGGGCGGAAAGGGACGGCACAGAGCGGGACACCGGGGGACACAGAGGAGGAGACCTGCGTGAGAAGGTGGTGAGGAGCCCCGTGCCCAGCCTTCAGTTGGAAACATCCTTCCCCGCCTCCGAAAAAGCCAAATGTTAGGGCTGCCTTTGCCGGCATCCGGACATCCGGCACATCCCCGCTGACTCGTCACCGTGAAGGCAGGCAGGAAGATAAATCTGGTGTTTTCTGGCACCACGCGACGGCCACAGGGAAGTCATCAAAGGGTTTTAGGGTTTTCCTACCTGCTGCAGCACTGGGTACGGCCACGTGGGAGTCCATGGAGGCTTGCCATGGTGTGAGGATGTTAACTGGGAGGGGAGTGAACGAGACGCTGGACTTACTGAGGGCCAGGAGGGATCCACCACCAGGGGCTGGTTTAAACTGAGGGGTTTCGCAAGGGCCTGCTCTTGGGGAAAGGATCAAAGTGGACAGGCAGCGCCCGCAGACCCCGAGAGCCAGAGGAACAAAAAGGGGCGAAGCAAGGAAAGCAAAAGGATGGCAAGGCAACGTATTTGGGCAAAAAACTGGAGCTTCTACAGGCCAAAGCAGAGATTTGGGAGGTTCAACACAAGACAGGCGACCACAAAGGATCCCAACAAAGCTTACGTCCTCCTAAAACACAGCTGGAGAGGTATTCCCCGGGTGGGCACGGCCGCGGCTGAGCCGAACCCCGGTGAAAATGGCTTTGGCGAGGACGGGGCGACAGCGAGTTGCCATTTCGGAGAGTCACGGGACTGATCGGAGCGACCGGTCCCACCCGCGGAGCAAGAGCTGGGGGTATGGAGCGTCGCTGCGAAGGAATTACGGCCTGCAGGCTCTAAATAAAAGCGAAAAAAAATAACGTCGGGAAGGAAAAAAGAATCACAGAATGACAGAATGGTAGGGGTTGGAAAGGACCTCTGTGGGTCACCCAGTCCAACCCTCCCACCGAAGCAGGGTCACCCAGAGCAGGCTGTACGTCCAGGCAGGTCTTGAATATCTCCAGAGAAGGAGACTCCACAGCCTCCCTGGGCAGCCTGGGCCAGGGCTCCGTCACCCTCAGAGGGAAGAAGTTCTTCCTCGTGTTCAGCTGGA